TGTGGGTGTGTGTGGGGGGGGTGTGGGTGGGTGTGGGTGTGGGGGGGTTTTGGGGTGGGTGTGGGTTTGGGGGTGGGTGGGTGTGGGTTTGGGTGTGGGTGGGTGGGTGTGGGTGGGTGTGGGTGGGTGGGGGTGGGTTGTTGGTGGGTGTGGGTGGGTGTGGGTGGGGTGTGGGTGGGTGTGGGTGGGTGTGTGTGTGTGTGTGTGTGGGTGGTGTGGGTGGGGGGTGGGGTGTGTGGGTGTGGGGTTTGGGGTTTTGTGGGTGTGTGTGTGTGTGGTGTGTGTGTGTGTGGTGTGTGTGTGTGTTTTTGTGTTGGGGTGTGGGTGTGTGTGTGTGTTTGTGTGTGTGTGTGTGGTTGTGTGTGGTGTGTGCGCGCACGCGTGTGTGGGTATGTGTGTGTGTGTGTGTGGGTATGTGTAGTATGTGGTGTGTGTGTGTGTGTTGTGTGTGTGTGGTGGTTGTGTTGTGTGTGGTGTGTGTGTGTGTGTGGTTGTTTTGTGTGTGTGACCACTAGTTGTACTCACCTAGTTTAGGTTTGCGGGGGTCGATCCGAGTCCTGGCCCGCCTCTTCACTGATCGTACTAGGTCACTCTCCCTGAGCCGTGGGGCTTTATCATACCTCTGCTTAAAGCTGTATGGATCTGCCTCCACTGCATCACTTCCAAACTATTCCACTTACTGACTACTCTGTGGCTGAAGAAATACTTCCTAACACCCCTGTGATTCATCTGTGTCTTCAAGGCTTCCAACTGTGCCCCTTGTTACTGTGTCCAATCTCTGGGAAATCGTTTCTTTGTCCCATTTGTCAATTCCTCTCAGTATTTTTATGTCGTATCATTCCCCCTTATCCCCTTGACTCCAGTGTCGTCAGGTGATTTCCCTAACCTCTCCTCGTAGGACAACCTCTTAGCTCTGGGACTAGTCTTGTTGCAAACCTTTGCACTTTTCTCTAGTTTCTTTACGTGCTTGGCTAGGTGGGGTTCCAAATGTGCCGCATACTCAATACGGGCCTAACGTAACGGTGTACAGGGCCCCTGAATGATTCCTTATTAAAATGTCCCGGGAAAGCTGTTCGGAGGTTTGCTAGGCGCCCATATGCTGCAGCAGTTATTGGTTGATGTGCACTTCAGGAGATGTGCCTGGTGTTTTTACTCACCCCAAGATCTTTTTCCCTTGAGTGAGGTTTTTTAGTCTCTGGCCCCTAGACTGTACTCCGTCTGGGGGTTTCTTTGCCCTTCCCCAATCTTTATGACTTTGCACTTGGGGGGATTGAACTCCAGGAGCCAATTGCTGGGCCAGGTTGCAGCCTGTCCAGATCCCTTTGTAGTTCTGCCCGGTCTTCGATCGAGTGAATTTTCTCATCAACTTCACGTCATCGCAAAAAAGGGACACCTCAGAGTCTATTCCTTCTGTATGTCGTTCCAAATACAGAAACAGCACTGGTCCTAGGACTGACCCGTGGGACCCCGCGGTCACAGGTGCCCACTCTGACACCTCGCCACGTACCATGACTCGCTGCTGTCTCTGTCAGTATTCCCTGATCCATTGTAGTGCCTTTCCCTGTTATCCCTACTTGTCCTCAGTTTTTGCACCAATCTCTTGTGGGAACTGTGTCAAAGGGCCTTCTTGCAGCCCAAAAGAAAATCCCAACCCACCCCCCCCTCTCTCTCTTGTCTTACTGCTGTCACCATGTCATAAAAACTCCAGTAGGTTTGTGACACAGGATTTCCCGCCCCTGAAACCATGTGGCTGCTTTTGATGAGATCGTTTCCTTTCTAGGTGTTCCACACTCTTCTCCTGATAATTTTCTCCAGGGATTTTGCATACTATACATGTAGGGGAAACATGGTCTGTAGTTTATGCTCATGTCTGTCCCCCTTTTTTAAAGATTGGGACTACATTTTGTCTTCCTGCCTCAGGCAATTCCCCGTTTCGATAGATGTATTGAATATTGTTTTTTAGGGGTACACATAGTGCTCTGTCCCTTTAAAAACCATGGGGAGATGTTTTCTGGCCCCCTCCTTTGAGGTATCTAGCTCACAGAAGCCTCTTCACTTCTTCCTCGGTTGTGTGCACTGTGTCCAGCACATGGTGGTGTGCCCCACCTCTCACCCTTTTTGGAGCCCTTCTGTCTCCCTGTCAACACTTCTTTGAATTTGTTGAGTTCCTACATACTTCACCCGGGCATTTCTTGTGTCTCTCCTCCTCCTTCCTTAGCCTGATACCCGGTCCTTGACTGTTGTTTTCCTCCGATGTGGCTGTACAACAGTTTCGGGTCAGATTTGGCTTTCGCTGCTAAGTCATTTTCATATTGTCCTTTGGGCCTCCCTTCTTATCTGTGCATTTTTCGTTTCTGGCTCTACGCTGCTTCTCCTTATTCTCCCGAGTCCTTTGCCCTTTTATATTTCTTCCATTCCCTAGCACACTTGGTTTTTGCCTCCTCGCACCTTTGGGTAAACCATGGGCTCATCCTGCTTTTTCATTGTTCCTGTTCCCCTTGGGTACAAACCTTTCCTCGCCTCCTTGCATTTTTTGTACATATTCCTCATTCTTTAAAACTGGCACCCTGCCGTTCTCTGTCCCCACTGAACCCTCGGAATTTCCCTCATTCCATGTAGCCCCCCTTTCTTGTAGTTTGGCTTCATTCGTCCGGGCCCTTCCCTGTTCTCCCCCACTGTAAGCTTGGTATTCGAAGTTAAAACCCATGGCCTGGCCCCAAGGGGTTTTCATATGTGTTTCCCCTCGATATCTCCCTACTAAAGGTAAATTCAAAGTCCAGCCTTGCTGGTTTCACCCTCTCCCTCCTCTTGTAGGCCCCCTTACGTGTTGGACATGAATTTTTCCCAGTACATAAGAAATAAGAATGTGGAAACGCAAAGGCCTACTGGCCCCTAAAGGCAGGTCCTTATCAAAACGACTCTACCTAAAGCCCCCAAGAAAAACTCCCGTACCCCCAAAGACACCAATCAAACCCGCCCCCTCCCACATATAAATTTTTCCAGTCTCTCTTAAAGCTACACAAGGTCCCAGCCTCTTCACCCCACTAGAAGGGCTGTTCCAGCATCTAAACTCGTTAGAAAACCAGTACTTAACTATGTCCTTTCTAAATCTAAATTTATCCAAACTTATATCAATATTCCTGGTTCTTACCTGGTTTGATACCCTCAGGTACTTTATTAATATTCCCTTGTTTATGCTGTCATTCATCATACACTTCAATGATATCTCCTCTCATTCACGCTGTTGCCCTCCATATATCTGGGGGCCCCCATGTGGGTCCAGTTTCCCAATCGATTCCTTGTGGTTTAAAGTCACCCATGATCAGGAGCTTTGCCTGCTGCATGAGCTCTTTAGCCACTCTAGTCAGTGTGTCAATCATCGCTCTATTGCTCGTCGTGTGTGTGGGTGGTGTGTGTGTGTGTGTTTTGTGTGTGTGTGTGTGTGTGTGTGTGTGTGGTGTTGTGTGTGTGTGTGGTGGGTTGGTGTTGTGTGTGTGTGTGGGGGTGGGTGTGGGTGGGTGTGGGTGTGTGTGTTGGGGGTGTGTGGGGGTTTGTGTGTGTGGGTGTTGTGTGTGGGTGTGTGTGTGTGGTGTGTGTGGTGGGGTGTGTGTGTGTGTGTGTGTGTGTGTGTGTGTGTGTGTGTGTTTTGTGTGTGTGTGTGGGGTGTGTGGTGTGTGTGTGTGTGTATGTGTGTGTGTTTTGTGTGGGGTGGGTGGGTGGGTGTGTGTGTGTGTGGGTGGGTGTGTGTGTGTTTTGTGTGTGTGTGTCACTTGCATGGTTGGAAATCTGTGTTTCATATGGTCCTTCGTACCTTTGTGCGTGTGTGTGTGTGTGGGGGGGGGGGGGAGGTAGTGGCATAGCCATGGAAAACACTGGGGTGTTGGATGTGGGGGCATAGTTCCCAGCGTGGGTGATACCAGTATGGCACCCCTCTGTACTACCACCTCCTGCCACATGTGATGCTGGCATTGCCTGCGGGCCTACTAACCATGCCAAGTATGTATGATCCTCATTATCATCATCTGTCACGGGTTTGTTGGGTCCAAGATGTATACTTCCCTGGGTAAAAGCCAATGGGAAACCAACCAGACCATATGCATTGCCATATATACTGATGCTTCACAGGCAAATCTTCACTATCACTGTGCAGGTCATAGACTGTTAGGAAAATCAAAGTCCACATCACTATTATATTGCTCACACCTGCACCCAAGCCACAAGTGAAAGCGAGCTTTCGAAGCTTACAGTGAGGTGGATGCATTCTGACAAACCAACCTCAGAAATGGACGGATGGGGGTCGTCAGGGTTTTCAGCGACATTTCCAGCATCTTGAACATCATTTCAGTCACTAAAACATTTGAAATTGAAGAACTCATCCCAGTTCCATAATCCTCATTGTTGAAGTCATTACTGAGGAATAAAACTCAGTGAATTCACCTGGGAGTGAGGTCTTTGCATCTGCGCAATATGGTGGTCACGGTGTACTAAAGAGGGAAATTTCCCGATTTTTGTATGCAGTTCATACTGGCCACAAATACCTGTTCTCTCATGTAGGTCTACTAGGCTCTCATGCAAACCCTGCACCAATAACAAATCTATGCAAGAGACAGTGAAATGGTTACAAGAAAAACACACACACACACACACACACACACACACACACACAAAAGAGCGTTACTGTTTTTTGGTAATTAGTTGGTTCCCAAATGCCAGTGTTGTCAGTGAGAAACCTCATGACTCAGAACCACAAAAACTGGGGGCCTACTGTACATGTAATGCACTCGTTTGTAAATCCATAAACTTAATTTCAACATTAGGGACATGATGCATGGACACTTGATTATTGCAAAGTTAAAACTAATGTACCTATACCTGACCTATTTGTGTTTTCTCATTTACACTTTAATAATCTCCATCAGGTAACAACTGAAGTACTGTTTGATAAAGCAGAGTCCTAAACTAGACATGAAAGAAATATGCAAGTTACAAAAAACACTTACCGATCTTCACAAGGTGTTGAAGGTATACAAGAAGAAGGTGTTCGGGAATGCATGGGAGTGGAATACAGTGAAACTCTACTGCCCGTTCCCATGTTAACACCTCGCACTGTGCCTCCAATAACAGTTTCTTGCAGCAGTCCTGCACTTCGCCATGAGTCTCCATTACTAGTTTCATCTAATAGTTTCTTACTTTGGATACAAATGCTACAGCCTGAGGATGTAACGCTGGTCATGACGTTACTTAAGTTTGCCATATTTACAATCCTCTTTTCAAAGCGTTCTTCTAGACCATTCTCTGACACAGAGGATACTGGCCCTTTCTTCAGAGGTTTGCGGTTATTATTAACTGTGGTGCACACTTCATTTTCTTCTGAAACACCATTCATAAATGGACAACATTTTCCATTTAATAAGGACTTGGGGCTCTCTTGTCCTGATTCTCCATTCACTAATGGTAACAATTCACTGTTTTTTTCCTGAGGAACATTTTCTTCACTAGCAATAATTCCCATCTCAGCAACTAAAGTGTCAGTAGATCCTTCGATGGACTGTTCAGCCAAACCTCTGATGCGATGGCCACCACTGACTCTTGGTCTATTCCGACACATTTCCCCTTTTGGCTCTCTCAGCATCCCTACCTTTTCCATGTCACTCTCGTCCTCATCTATTTCTGTACTTTCTCTCCCCAGGAATTCACTCGCTTCTTCACCATTTTCTACATGTTCACTGAGCTCACTTTGCACTACATTCACACATTCATGGTTTTCAGATTCTGAAACTGAAGGTTCACATAAAGTCAATGACTCTGACTCATCATTGAGTCTTTCTCCATTAGGTTCACTTGTAGAATCTTCATAAGCATCAAAATCCTCAATGCCTGGTTCTTCATTCTCATGTTCCACACCAGCATTCATTTCTTCACTAGCCAGATCTGCACCAAGTGCAGAGTTGAGCATGGCCATGTTCGGACAACTGAAAAATGCATAATTATATTAAAATAGCAAGCAGCCATGTTTGAGCACTATTGCACATGTACAAATAATTAAAGAAGAGCAATAGAAGTTAATGAATATTAAGGTAGACAAGTGCTATGCCTCCATGGATAAAGGAGTCTGTCTCTGCTGAGACAAAACTATCCATGAAGGAAAAAAAAGAGGGGGTGGGGGTGGGGGGAGTGTACAAGAGTATAGTAGTACCAACACCGTTGTATGGGTGTTAAGCACAAGATTTGAATGCTGCAGCAAGGAGACGACCTGAGGCAGTGAAGATGTTGTATCTGAGGGCAATGTATGTGTGAATATTATGGAGAGAAATCGAATTATGATAGTAGGTTGGTAGACAGCAACCACCCAGGGAGGTACTACCGTCCTGCCAAGTGAGTGTAAAACGAAAGCCTGTAATTATTTTACATGATGGTAGGATTGCTGGTGTCTTTTGTCTGTCTCATAAATATGCAAGATTACAGGCATGTCCTGCTACTTCTACTTACACTTAGGTCACACTACACATACATGTACACGTTTATTTATACACACTCATCCGAGTTTTCTTTGATTTTATCTTAATAGTTCTTGGTCTTATTACTTTTTTTTTTTATATCCATGGGGAAGTGGAATAAGAATCTTTCCTCCGTAAGCCATGCGTGTTGTAAAAGTCAACTAAAATGCCGGGAACAATGGGCTAGTAACCCCTTTTCCTGAAAAGATTACTAAAAAGAATAAGAAGAAAATTGTCAAAGTGGGAAGTCTGAATATGCGTGGATGTTGTGCAAATGATAAGAAAGAGATGATTGTGGATGTTATGAATGAGAAGAAACTGGATGTCCTGGCTTTAAGTGAAACAAAGCTGAAGGGGGTGGTAGAGTTTCAATGGAGAGGAATAAATGGGATTAGGTCAGGGGTTTCAAATAGACTTAGAGCTAAAGAAGAGTAGCAATAATGTTGAAAGATAAGCTATGGTAGGAAAAGAGGGACTACAAATGTATTAATTCAAGGATTATGTGGAGTAAAATAAAGATTGGATGTGAAAAGTGGGTTATAGTAAGCATGTATGCACCTGGAGAAGAGAGAAGAGTAGAGGAGAGAGAGAGATTTTGGGAAATGTTGAGTGAATGCATGGGGAGTTTTGAATCAAGTGAGAGTAATGGTGGTTAGGGATTTCAATGCTAAAGTGGGTGAAAATGTTATGGAGGATGTAGTAGGTAAATTTGGGGTGCCAGGGGTAAATGTAAATGGGGAGCCTTTAATTGAGCTATGTGTAGAAAGAAATTTGGTAATAAGTAATACACATTTTATGAAAAAGATGATAAATAAATATACAAGGTATGATGGAGCACGTAATGAAAGCAGTTTGTTAGATTATGTATTGGTGGATAAAAGGTTGATGGGTAGGCTCCAGGATGTACATGTTTATAGAGGGGCAACAGATATATCGGATCATTATTTAGTTGTAGCTACAGTTAGAGAGAGAGGTAGATGGGAAAAGAGGAAGGTGGCAACAACAAGTAAGAGGGAGGTGAAAGTGTATAAACTAAGGGAGGAGGAAGTTCGGGTGAGATATAAGCGACTATTGGCAGAAAGGTGGGCTAGTGCAAAGATGAGTAGTGGGAGGGTTGAAGAGGGTTGGAATAGTTTTAAAAATGCAGTATTAGAATGTGGGGGCAGAAGCTTGTGGTTATAGGAGGGTGGGGGCAAGGAGGAAAGAGGAGTGATTGTGGAATGATGAAGTAAAGGGTGTGATAAAAGAGAAAAAAGTAGCTTATGAGAGGTTTTTACAAAGCATAAAGTGTTATAAGAAGGCAGAGTATATGGAGAGTAAAAAGAAAGGTGAAGAGAGTGGTGAGAGAGTGCAAAAGGAGAGCAGATGATAGAGTGGGAGAGGCACTGTCAAGAAATTTTAATGAAAATAAGAAAAAATTTTGGAGCGAGTTAAACAAGTTAAGAAAGCCTAGGGAAAGTATGGATTTGTCAGTTAAAAACAGAGTAGGGGAGTTAGTAGATGGGGAGAGGGAGGTATTAGGTAGATGGCGAGAATATTTTGAGGAACTTTTAAATGTTGAGGAAGAAAGGGAGGCGGTAATTTCATGCACTGGCCAGGGAGGTATACCATCATTTAGGAGTGAAGAGCAGAATGTTAGTGTGGTGGAGGTACTTGAGGCATTACGTAGAATGAAAGGGGGTAAAGCAGCTGGAACTGATGGGATCATGACAGAAATGTTAAAAGCAGGGAAGGATATAGTGTTGGAGTGGTTGGTACTTTTGTTTAATAAATGTATGAAAGAGGGGAAGGTACCTAGGGATTGGCAGAGACCATGTATAATCCCTTTATATAAAGGGAAAGGGGACAAAAGAGATTGTAAAAATTATAGAGGAATAAGTTTACTGAGTATACCAGGAAAAGTATACGGTAGGGTTATAATTGAAAGAATTAGAGGTAAGACAGAATGTAGGATTGCAGATGAGCAGGGAGGCTTCAGAGTGGGTAGGGGATGTGTAGATCAAGTGTTTACATTGAAGCATATATGTGAACAGTATTTAGATAAAGTAGGGAAGTTTATATTGCATTTATGGATTTAGAAAAGGCATATGATAAAGTAGATAGAGGAGCAATGTGGCAGATGTTGTAAGTATATGGAATAGGTGGTAAGTTACTAAATGCTGTAAAGAGTTTTTATGAGGATAGTGAGGCTCAGGTTAGGGCGTGTACAAGAGAGGGAGAATACTTCCCGGTAAAAGTAGGTCTTAGACAGGGATGTGTAATGTCACCATGGTTGTTTAACCCTTTGACTGTCGCAACCCCCAATCCTGAGGTGTCTCCTGGTGTCGCAAAATTTAAAAAAAAAAAAAAATATTTTTTCTTATGAAATGATAGAGAATCTTTTCCCGATTGTAATGACACCAAAAAAACGAAATTTGATGGAAAACTGACGGAATTATGCTCTCGCAAAGTTAGCGACCTCGGCGCTGTTTACAAATCGGCGATTTCGCCCACTTTGAGCCCTATTTTCGGCTAATTCCATTGTCCCAGTCGCCCAAACTCATAGCTATTTCTCTAGAAGTTCATTTTTTCTATCGATTGAGTACAAGAAACTGCCCATTTACTGATTTCAACTACCTAATAATGTGGTCAGAAATTTGCAATTTGGCCAATTTCACAAAAACTAAAAAATATGACAATTTCAAAATCAGGTCCAGAATGAACAATGCAGACATTCCAGGCTCTAAAATAACGTTTTCTTTGTTCATCAGTCACGTCTCCAGGCCCCTCTGATATTACTCTTGCTTTCTATTTTGAATTTTTATTCAAACAAAAAATATTAGACTTACTATTATGCAGACTACTGCAATGCTGTAATAACTGTATAAGTAACATCAACCCATTCATGACTGCATATTAGAATGGCTAGTTGGACATTTATTGGAAAATGCCATCACTTGTTTACTTTTGAACATTGGCAAAAATCAAACATTTCCTCTACTTCGAGCTCCATTTCTAGGGTCTTTTTATAGTAAAATCAATCAAAAACACCACTATTTCTGTAATATGTTTTCCATTCTATCAAATGAGACCAAGAAAACGAGAATACAACCATAAATACTATACGAAAATAGACCACAAAGTCGGCATTTTAATTAAAAAAAACGGTCGGAGTTTTTTTTTTCTCCTTATGCACTGCGTGCTCCAGGATTTTTTTTATATGGTGCACACTGACCACACAGACCCATTGTCTCACATGTGGGCCTACCAGCTTTCTCCTGCTTGATTTGAAGCCGCTAGAATTTATGAGTATATATACGTCAAACACAGCACCTCGTAAAACGTATATATACGGCCGCGACAGTCAAAGGGTTAATATATTTATAGATGGGGTTGTAAAAGAAGTAAATGCTAGGGTGTTCAGGAGAGGGGTGGGATTAAATTATGGGGAATCAAATTCAAAATGGGAATTGACACAGTTACTTTTTGCTGATGATACTGTGCTTATGGGAGATTCTAAAGAAAAATTGCAAAGGTTAGTGAATGAGTTTGAGAATGTGTGTAAAGGTAGAAAGTTGAAAGTGAACATAGAAAAGAGTAAGGTGATGCGGGTATCAAATGATTTAGATAAAGAAAAACTGGATATCAAATTGGGGAGGAGGAGTATGGAATAAGTGAATGTTTTCAGATACTTGGGAGTTGACGTGTCGGCGAATGGATTTATGAAGGATGAGGTTAATCATAGAATTGATGAGGGAAAAAGGTGAGTGGTGCATTGAGGTATATGTGGAGTCAAAAAACTATCTATGGAGGCAAAGAAGGGAATGTATGAAAGTATAGTGGTACCAACACTCTTATATGGATGTGAAGCTTGGGTAGTAAATGCAGCAGCGAGGAGACGGTTGGAGGCAGTGGAAATGTCCTGTCTAAGGGAAATGTGTGGTGTAAATATTATGCAGAAAATTCGGAGTGTGGAAATTAGGAGAAGGTGTGGAGTTAATAAAAGCATTAGTCAGAGGGCAGAAGAGGGGTTGTTGAGGTGGTTTGGTCATTTAGAGAGAATGGATCAAAGTAGAATGACATGGAAAGCATATAAATCTATAGGGGAAGGAAGGAGGGGTAGGGGTCGTCCTCGAAAGGGTTGGAGAGAGGGGGTAAAGGAGGTTTTGTGGGCGAGGGGCTTGGACTTCCAGCAAGCATGCGTGAGCGTGTTAGATATGAGTGAATGGAGACGAATGATACTTGGGACCTGACGATCTGTTGGAGTATAAGCAGGTTAATATTTAGTGAAGGGATTCAGGTAAACCGGTTATTTTTATACAGCCAGACTTGAGTACTGGAAATGGGAAGTACAATGCCTGCACTTTAAAGGAGGGGTTTGGGATATTGGCGGTTTGGAGGGATATGTTGTGTATCTTTATACGTATATGATTCTAAAACTGTTGTATTCTGAGCACCTCTGCAAAAACAGTGATTATGTGTAGAGTGTGGTGAAAGTGTTGAATGATGAT